GGGATTGAAATCCTAATTTTGCCTCCAGCAGGAAGGGAATTTCTCCTAAATTTCTCCTAATCCATGATAAATATTCAGGAAGCTCCCCAAAAAAATTCCCTGGGAGCAGCACCAGGGTGGGACATCCCTCAATCCCTACCCCAGCATTTGGAATTCTGCGATCTTTAACCTCTCCCTCTCCCCCTGGAATTTCCTCATCCCAAATTTGTGTGGCTTTTCCCACCCCACCCCCCCCATCCTGGGCAGAGCTGAAGCTTTTGGTGAATGGATTTGAGGGGGAAAAGTGGGATAAAGGATTTGCCTCTCCCTGGATCCTTGGGGAGCTCAAAGGGGGAGCTCAAAATCCTTGGGAATATCCCGTGGTTGACACTTAAAAAGGGGTTTTTTTCCAGGCTCAGGAAAAATGGAACTGGAAAATCCTTCAGGATTCCAGGATGGAGCTGCAGGTCCCCTCAGCCCCCAATGGCTCGGGATGGGATGGAGGGAACTTTTCCTACAGCAGCTTTTTGGGATCCTGCTATTCCTGGTGGGATCCTGTGGCTTGGGAATCACCCCCCGAGCCATTTTCCAGGGTGGGATCCACTGGGTGAACTGGGAGGCTCTGGGTGTGTCCAACACCCTCCCAGCACAGGTGGTGGGATCAGGGACCAAGGATTGGAGGAACAGGGGACAAAGGACTCAGGGGAACAGCCAGGCCTGGAATTTCCACTGGAGAACTTCCACTAGAACAACCCAAGATGCTGCTCCAGCAGCTGATCCAGGGCTCAGCCCCTGGAATGGTCAAAGGATGGCACCCAACAGGTCCAGCTGCTCCAAGGTGGGAAGAGATCCGGGTTAGCTTTGACTTCCAAAGTCTCATTCCAACGGGAAAAAAAAACCACACACACCAAAAAAAACCCAAAACAAACAAACAAACAAAAAAAAAAAACCAGGAGGAAAAGCCGGAAGCAAAAAGGGGTTGTATTAAAAAAACATAGGATGTGTCTGTCCATGATCCAGCCCAGTTTCTGGGAGCTCGGCCCAGCCAACCCCCCCTTTCCTATAAAAACCACCCCCCTCAAGGGGGAGGGAATTCCCTGCTCCCAATGTCCCATCCCTAATTTTTAAGGGGGGGGGTGGTGTGTGTAACTCCTCCAAAGTCCCATCCTCGACTTTGGGGTTTGTGTCACTGCTCCAGTGTCCTCTCCCCAATTTTGGGGTTTGTGTCACTCCTCCAAAGTCCCCTCCCCGATTTTGGGGGGTGTCGGTGCTCCAGTGTCCTCTCCCTGATTTTGGGGGGTGTCAGTGCTCCTTGGCCCTGCCCCGGGCGCGGATGGCTCCGATGCCGCTCCAGATCTCGGAGTACAGGAGTGTTCCCAGGAAGACGAGGGCGGTGCCCGCCCAGTGCCAGGCGGTGAAAGGGTTTTGGAAGTAGAGGATGGACAGGATGAGGCTCAGGAACTTGCGCAGCGTCACCACCAACGTCACCGTCAGCGACGGGCACTCCGTGGTCAGCGTGAACACCCCCCGGATGCACACGTACCTGGGAATGCAGCTCAGGAATTCTGGGAGAGGGAGGAGAGACTGGAATGGGAGGGAATAAGGGATGGGGAGGGAGTGGGGGGGGAAGTTCATGCCTTGGGTGGGGTGGAACGGATTGTGGGAAGTGTAGGGATGCACGGCGGATCACAGGGATACCCCACAAACCCAGGGATACCTCACAAACCCAGGGAATAACATCAGGACACCCCACAAACACAGGGACAAACCCAGGACACCCCACAAACCAGGGACATCCCACAAAACCAGGGACACACTGCAAATCCAGGGAATAACATCAGGACACCCCACAAACCAAGGGATAAACCCAGGACACCCCACAAACACAGGGACACACTGCAAATCCAGGGACAAACCCAGGGACACCCCAAATCTTCCAGCCCAAGCCCTGGGGGTGTTTAAGGACAGGCTGGATGTGGCCTCAGTGCCACGGGATGGGTGACAGGGCGGGGTTGGGTGACAGGTGGCACTCGGTGATCTCAGAGGGCTTTTCCAACCCCTCATTTACCACAGGGCTGGAGATCTCCCTTCAGGGCAATATTCCCACCTCGACCAGACAACTCCTCACCTGAGCTGCTCCAACACCGTCTCCCAAGCACAGGGAGGGCTCCAAGGACCCCACACCCCCAATCCCACCCGTCCTGCCCCCACCCAGAGCAGCTGGGAGGCCGAAGGATACTGAGTGAGGACGTTCATCAGCAGGTAGAACCACATGATCGGCACGGTCAGCCCGAGCAGCGGCACCTGGAACGGCTCTGGGGGCACAGGGGGGGCACAGGGGGGGCACAAGGTCACCCAGGGGCTGGGACACCACCCAAGGGACCCACCCCTGCCCTGGCCAGCACTGATGTCCATCCATCAGCACTCACTGCAGCCCCAGGGGGCCCTTCCTGCCGCAGGCACAGAGAGATCTGAGCATGGAACGGGGTTTGGGGCAGTTCTCTTGTCCATGGCTTGATTTTTTGGGGAGTGAATTTGCCCATGGTTTGATTTTTGGGGAGTTCTCTTGGTCCTGGTTTCATTTTTGGGGGAGTTTTCTTGTTCATGGTTTGATTTTTTTGGGAGTGAATTTGTTCCTGGTTTGACTTTTGGGGGAGTAAATGTGTCCATGGTTTCATTTTTGGAGAGTGAATTTTTTCATGGTTTCATTTTTGGGCAGTGAATTTGTCCACACTTTGATTCTTGGGGGATTTAACTCGTTCTTCCCGTGGTAAATGAGAACCACACGAGATTTGCAGATGTTTCTGCTTGGAAAGGAGGAACAGGAGATGACAAAACACCTTCCCCTGGCCCAGGTTGCTCCAACCCGGCCTTGGACGCTTCCAGGGATCTCTGCCGGGGCCTCCCCACCCTCCCAACCAACAATTCCTCCCTGAAAAGGCTGGAATATCCCAAAGTGACAGCCTGGAAGGTACAACTGCCACCCTGGGAGCTTCCAGAGGTTGTCCAGGAAAATCCAGGATGAGGATCCCGGTTCCCAACTCACCGGACTGGTTGAAGAGCACGGCGTGCCGGTAAATGTCGGGAGCCAGCAGCAGGAATCCAGGGAGTGGCAGGGCGTGCTGGGGGAGAGAACAGAGAACCTTGGGAGTCACTGGGGTGAGGGGAACCCATCCCACTTCCCAACCTCTGGAAAATCCACCTGTAAGGATTTATAATGCTAAGATAGAGGATATTTTGCTGTGAGAACATAATCTTATCTTTCAACTGTGAAAACGTGATCTGCGGTTCTGATGGCCTTCTGATGGCACCAGGACGGGAAAGATCCACCAAAAAAACATCAGCAAAACCATATGTACAAAATAAGATCCCAGTGCCAGCTCTCGGGGTGGGAAAGGACATAAAAATGTTAAAAGAAACAAAAAGCTAAAGGAAGAGCATTGTTAGGAAACTGCTGCTGGATTTTTAAAGGAGCAGCTGCAGATTTAAAGGAGCAGTTGCAGGTGGCCCAGCAGGAGCTCCAGGAGGTTCCCTGAGGGACTCACGTTGTAGAAG